CATTGAGTACCATCAGAGGAACACATTCATAGAAAAAAACTCCCATCCACGTGTATTTTGAAAAAGTTATGAATTTTTTTCGAATTTCCGAAAAAGAGGGCCTATGGGGTTAATTCTTGCCCGACAAAATATTGTGAGATATACATATTATTGAGTACCATCAGAGGAACACATTCATAGAAAAAAACTCCCAAACACGTGTATTTTGAAAAAGTTATGAATTTTTTTCGAATTTCCGAGAAAGGGGGCCTATGGGGTTAATTCTTGCCCGACAAAATATTGTGAGATATACATATTATTGAGTACCATCAGAGGAACACATTCATAGAAAAAAAATCTCATCCACGTGTATTTTGAAAAAGTTATGAATTTTTTTCGAATTTTCGAAAAAGGGGGCCTATGGGGTTAATTCTTGCCCGACAAAATATTGTGAGATATACATATTATTGAGTACCATCAGAGGAACACATTCATTAAAGAAAACTACTATCCACGTGTATTTTGAAAAAGTTAGGAATTTTTTTAGAATTTCCGAAAAAGGGGGACTATGGGGTTAATTTTTGCCCGACAAAATATTATGAGATGAACATATTATTGAGTACCATCAGAGGAACACATTCATTAAGAAAAACTCCCATTCACGTTTATTTTGAAAAAGTTATGAATTTTTTTCGAATTTCCGAAAAAGGTGGCCTATGGGGTTAATTCTTGCCCGACGAAATATTGTGAGATATACATATTATTGAGTACCATCAGGGGCATGCATTTATAGAAAAAACTCCCATCCACGTGTATTTTGAAAAAGTTATGATTTTTTTCGAAATTCCGAAAAAGGGGGCCTGTGGGGTTAATTCTTGCCAGACGAAATATTGTGAGATATACATATTATTGAGTACCATCAGAGAAACACATTCATGGAAAAAAACTCCCATCCACGTGTATTTTGAAAAAGTTATGAATTTTTTTCGAATTTCGGAAAAAGGGGGCCTATGGGGTTAATTCTTGCCCGACAAAATATTGTGAGATATACATGTTATTTAATACCATCAGAGGAACAAATTCATTGAAGGAAACTCCCATCCACGTGTATTTTGAAAAAGTTATGATTTTTTTCGCAATTCCGAAAAAGGGGACCTGTGAGGTTAATTCTTGCCCGACAAAATATTGTGAGATATACATATTATTGAGTACCATCAGAGGAACACATTCATAGAAAAAAACTCCCATCCACGTGTATTTTGAAAAAGTTATGAATTTTTTTCGAATTTCCGAAAAAGAGGGCCTATGGGCGAGGGGTAAATCTCCAGGAAAAATGTGTACACCAGACTTCCAATTAACATAGACTTCCAAAGACTCCCAAAGACTTCCAAATACTTCCAAAGACTCCCAAAGACTTCCGAAGACTTCCAGAGACATCCAAAGACTACCAAAGACTTCCAAAGACATCCAAAGACTCCCAAAGACTTCCAAAGACATCCAAAGACTCCCAAAGACATCCAAAGAATTCCAAAGACTTCCAACGGAGTGTACACCAGACTTCCAAGGAGATTTACCCCTCGCCTATGGGGTTAATTCTTGCCCGACAAAATATTGTGAGATATACATATTATTGAGTACCATCAGAGAAACACATTCATAGAAAAAAACTCCCATCCACGTGTATTTTGAAAAAGTTATGAATTTTGTTAGAATTTCCGAAAAAGAGGGCCTATGGGGTTAATTCTTGCCCGACAAAATATTGTGACATACACATATTATTGATTACCATCAGAGGAACACATTCATAGAAAAAACTCTCATTCACGTGTATTTTGAAAAAGTTATGAATTTTTTTCGAATTTCCGAAAAAGGGGGCCTATGGGGTTAATTCTTGCCCGACAAAATATTGTGAGATATACATATTATTGAGTACCATCAGAGGAACACATTCATAGAAAAAAACTCCCATCCACGTGTATTTTGAAAAAGTTATGAATTTTTTTCGAATTTACGAAAAAGGGGGCCTATGGGGTCATTTCTTGCCCGACAAAATATTGTGAGATATACATATCATTGAGTACCATCAGAGGAACACATTCATAGAAAAATACTCCCATCCACGTGTATTTTGAAAAAGTTATGAATTTTTTTCGAATTTCCGAAAAAGGAGGCCTATGGGGTTAATTCTTGCCCGACAAAATATTGTGACATACACATATTATTGATTACCATCAGAGGAACACATTCATAGAAAAAACTCTCATTCACGTGTATTTTGAAAAAGTTATGAATTTTTTTCGAATTTCCGAAAAAGGGGGCCTATGGGGTTAATTCTTGCCCGACAAAATATTGTGAGATATACATATTATTGAGTACCATCAGAGGAACACATTCATTGAAGAAAACTCCCATCCACGTGTATTTTGAAAAAGTTATGATTTTTTTCGAATTTCCGAAAAAGGGGGCCTATGGGGTTAATTCTTGCCCGACAAAATATTGTGAGATATACATGTTATTGAGTACCATTAGAAAAACACATTCATAGAAAAAAACTCCCATCCACGTGTATTTTGAAAAAGTTATGAATTTTTTTCGAATTTCCGAAAAAGGGGGCCTATGGGGTTAATTCTTGCCCGACAAAATATTGTGAGATATACATATTATTGAGTACCATCAGAGAAACACATTCATAGAAAAAAACTCCCATCCACGTGTATTTTGAAAAAGTTATGAATTTTTTTAGAAATTCCGAAAATGGGGGCCTGTGGGGTTAATTCTTGCCCGACAAAATATTGTGAGATATACAGATTATCATAGACCCTCAGAGAAAATCATTGCTGTGGAATAGTTTCATCCATGGACATATTTTCGAGGTTTGAGTAATTTCATGGCCAGCCATGAATATAAATTGATAATGAACGACCATTGGTGGTATGGCGCGCGCCTTGAATATTAGGCGAAGTCGTGGCTGGAACTCGTGGCTGGTTTCACACTGATAGAGTTTGAAGCAGGTGACATGGTATCACTTCGTGCTAACCCAATTTCGTCTGCATTGAAAAAAGGAACCAAAAAAATCTCTCCTTTTATATGAAGGTGATTACTTCGGTAATGTTCATACTAGAGCATGTGAATGAAAACGAAGCAAGAGGTATGTTCCATGCATGTCATGTCAAACATTTCAATTCAATAGAACACACTTTGAATACTTGAGGGCAAGAGGAGTCACATCCGTCATGTGAAAAAAATCATTTCACTTTATTCGCATATAGTGAACTCCGCATACATAGCCTGGGTATACGAAGTTCAAAGGGAGGCAAGATTTGACAAAATAAGCATTCAGTATCATATATCGGGATTGATATTCTTGTGGTATGGTTTCTCTTCATGTTGCTAGAAAAGTGAAAGTTTGTTAGCAAGACAAGTTGAACTGAATGCCATTTGGGTTTTCAACTGTGAGATTGAATTATATTTGGTTCCAACAGTCGCCTGGTGTTAGCTATGTACTATTATTGTATAAAATCATAAATATCAAGTGGATCTGAATATGAGAATATGTTTATGATATAAGAACTTCATTTACTTTCAGTTCTGTTGCTTGTCAAACTTGTCAGACTGTTGTGATAAAATCCATATCTGAGTTTGCTGAGAACCTATTCTTCTTCAAAACTTGTCGAATCTATCAATTCTCTTCGTGACATGTATGAACCTTCAACCTCTCTATAGAGAAATTTATCGAAAATATATTCAATGACAGTGCCGGCCGGCGTACCTCAGTGCTTCGATGCTTCAATATCGATTCACGTCGAGGTATCGATAGCGGGTTCGAGACCCACGAACGCAGACTTTTTCTGATGGCATAAGAAAGTGTTTGGGATCACACGTTCAAAGGTAAGGCCCCCGTCATTCCTTGCTCGCACAAGTCTTTCGAAGACTTCTGAGGGTTGCTCGTAAGGGGGAAACCGAATGACGGATAGAACAATTTTAGAACAATTTAGTATAATCGATTTCTTTCTCCATGTTATCCAACTGAATCGGGAGCCTAATTATCCAAATCACCTGTATAATCAGAAGTCACTCGCTCCCTCTACAAGAGTCATTTCAGCATCTCACGGTTTTTGCCCACGATACGTGTGTATTCAGTCCATTGGACAAAGTTTCCACAGAAAAATATTGATGGACAAAATCTAGCAGGCACTGAAGCTTCTCAGCACACGTGCTCTATCCAGAAGCGAAAGATCAGAAAAGCGAATGAAGTTTGTCAACAACAGGAATCTTATCTTTATCACAGATTCAGAATGGATTTTGTATTTGACGATCACCTGTTGATTCTGAGTAGCTCCTCAGTTGAACGGAAATTCATAGAATGATGTTTCCATCGTGATACATTATAAGACATACAATGGGTCATTTCGATAAGAACTTGACACCTATAGAACTTGATTTCTTGATCAATATCACAGAGAACCGTCGACATTTCGACAGTCGAACAATCTATTTTTTCTTATATCACTCACCCGAAATAACTTCCAGTGAAAGAATCTAAATGAAACTATCCTACTTCCATCACATCATCGAAGATTTTTTTTTATGCAAATACACTGGTACCGAAGTCTTGGACATAACGGATTGAACTTGACAGTTGATGGAATCGGAATATTGTTCTGAGACTACCAAGGTCACCTGATTTAAATACTTTCGATCATTCCGAGCAATACATTGAGAACAAATTGTTATTCTCTTTTCCATGAATATTTTCTATCTGAGAATGAGTAAACTGATCGATATAACAAAACAAAAATCAATATTGTTTCGCTGTTAAACAAAATATCATTGAAAATGAGCATTCAAGTGAGAAATCATTGAGCAAATGCGATTTCTGATTTGTTTACACCACACATATTATATTGGAGTTATACTTCTTCTCATAGAATTTCGTTCTACAATTCTCGAGTGTAATTGAGTTTTTGTCAAGAGAACCTAAATACTTCATGAAAAGAATCAATTATTTATTTTCTGCTCACCGGTACATCGGGATTGCTTGACGTGCTGACATCCGTCATAGCAACAATTGCTACTGATAAATTCACACGCATGCCATAGGCAATCGCAAGAAGTGAGAACAGCAGACCAACTTGAATATGTCTCACACCTAGTCCAGGAACTGAAAATAATGAAGAGTAAAATAATAATGTTGATTATAATCACTATATACGTCATTTGTTCATTATATTTCATGTGGTCCTTTGAAATTCATTCCAGGCGTATTCGCAGATAACAATTTGCACTAGCCTATAGCACCAGCCTAAGTTCGGTATAAATGTTTGAATGAAACGAGTTTGCCTTTTCTGTCCTGCACACGCTCCACACAGCAATCTCATTGATTGTGTACGCTTAAGCAAAATTGTGTCAAGATAATGAAGTAGTATAATTGGAAAATACTGGCAAATTATTTCATTCCAAGAAGGAATGTTAAAACAAAGGGGTGATGCATGAAAAATCATCAGATTCTTGAAGGAGAAGTAAGTCCGACGCAGGTGCGCATTCGTTTCGAATTCAAAAACATCGAAATGTGAGATGAAGGTTCCTTCATAGCACTAGGGTATCATATGAGCCCTATTCAGATTGATAAAGGTACAGACCTATGGATATCTATATGAGGAATCATTGTCTCAATGTCCCATGATGCGAGACGGAATATAGTAGGGGCAGTACTCTTATAAATTCCAATAAAGTATCAAGGAGATTCGTAAAAATACAGTATTCAAACTCAGAGATTGCAACATACTTGGCGAGAATTGAGGTGAAAATTCAGTATAGGAAATCGTCATTCTCAAGGTTGAAAACCCCTTCTTATAGCCTTCTGTCTCAGATGAGTTCGGTCGAAAAATGCCCTGGCTGCTGTATATAAAGTCATGCCAAAGGAAAATTGTCTGATCCATTTGTCTGAATCCTTTTCTGTTTTTCAATGCAGGTGTGAAAAGCGGTCGATCCGATTCTTTCGCGCCGGAACATTTTCCTGATGAGATACCTAATCGGGTGATAACAGTGGCGGATGTGCAAAGACTGCCAGATCATTTGGGATTCAGACTCAGATGTTCTTCAAATATTGAGTAGCAGAAAACAATTACTAATGTCCAACCGATTCATGAAAAACTTCGTCCACTATGGCAGAGTATCTTCACCAGTAATATAGGCAAGGAGCACAAAATTCAGATGGTAAAGTAATACCTTGCGTATAAACAAATGTTTTCTTCAAGGCGATCGAATTTGCTATTTTTTCTCAGTGTTTTCGAAATATCGATTGAAAAATTCCATTTATGAAGGATTTGATGAGCTATAGACAACGTTTCAGGATTGAAGATCCAAGGACTTATACCTCAACTCATTCGACGAGAATAATTATCAGTATTTGTAATTTTTTTAACGGTACATTCACGGAAATATGCGGAGTCGGACAGAATGGTGGAGCACTATGAAAAATAAAATCAGCATCGGATTCAGTCAACCAGCTGAACATCACAATATTCCGATATCTGAATTGCACGAAAAAATTGAAAACGCAATCAACAAATTCTCATATCTGAAATTGATTCTTTCCAGAACTCGAAGATTTTCCTCAGACCAATTATATGGAATGAGCAGATTATTGATATTAGGCAACTATATTTATCACTCATCAGCTCGCTTATCAGGTACCAACCACGGCAGATACATCATCAGTTTTGATTCCACATATTATAACCAGATCAATTTGTCAGCGATGATCTTCCAACATCGCACCAAGAGCCCATAATCCAATTCCTGCAGAAGTCAAATCTAAATATGGTTCCAAGTTTTGATATCTGCTGAAGGAATTCATCCAGAGTAATTCGACATTATGGTGCAGTGAAATTGACGTGATGAGAACTCAAACAATCCCCGAAATTCTAGTGAAAAATAGTCAGATTCATGTAATATGTTACTGATTCTATATAGTTCATATTTGTATTCCTTTCATCAGTTATTTATGCGTCTCACCTTGAATGTATTTTTCAAATATTCAATGTGATCATCTTATTGCTTCGCGCGCACGAAAAGATATCCTTATGATATTCGAATAACATCGTGCGTACCTAGGGAGGTTATGGAGAGGATAAGTGCATGATAATATTCTTCATTAGGTGCATATTGATACTCTGCATTATATCACATCATTTGCATCATAATCATATAATAAATTTTTTGAAAACGGGGTGTTTTCGAAATGAGTACCTAATACATTCAGCACATCAATGTGATGCATACTGAAGAACATTCACATGAAATCAGTTCTTTCTGATCATCCTGATCAACGAAAAATTCCATCTCAAAAATTTAACCAAAAACGAGAGAAAAATCAATTACGTCACTTCAGAAATATCCTAATGATTGTATCTTCCTCACGAAAATTCGAATAGGGGTGATGTCAAGATTGCTGAAATGTAGAACATTGGGTCTGACTCCAAATTAAATTTTCGTCCATATATTGTTTTATTGGCGTCATTTGATATTATTCCTTGAGCTTCCATAGGGGTTTGGATTGTTTGCAATTATTTCAATGACCTCAAATATACACCATTCAAAATAATTACCATTTGAAAGCGAACCACCCTTCGAATTTTATTATTCAAAGAGTGATTCGCATATTGCAATTTCAATTTTTTATTTCTTTTATCGCTTGGTGCGCACGAAAGGAATTCCTATAATGTTTAGAGAACATCGTGCGTTCCTGGTCGATATTTATAAAAACATATCGGGATTTGTTTTGCAAGTGAACAAACTACATATTGTTACGTCATTCGGGTGCAAGAGCGAACACATCACTATTTATTATCAAACTGATTCATTTTATCACAACGAACAGAGATTTAAATCGAACTAATGACTACTATTCATCCAACACGATACATATCACGCGGTTCATGACTGTCTCTGGTACACTCGCTGCTTGTCTGACTGACAGCAGCTGTCCAGCCGTCCTTACATATCAAATCCCTTGGCAGGCTTTGATTCTTGAACGTTCTCGATTTATCTTCCGTACCCCTCTGTTGTTTCACAAGTTTCAAGAAAAATATATTCCCCTCTTTTTCTGAGTGTTCCATCGATTGTTTCGAGATGATTCTAGATTCTTCTATCAGGTTTTGTGTCTCCGTGACACATATTGGGTGTTCGGAAATACGCTGGTACATGTTAGAATCATTGGGATGTTCGAGAGTGATCCAAGTAACTGGGTGATCGTTGTACTCCTGCTCTCTTGATGATGTTCTGTAGCTCCTTCGAAATGGATATCATTACATAACCTCCCCTCCTTCTTCGATTACATTCTTCCTGGAATGCACTCTGTTCGTTATGATGATAAGGACAACTGCTTTGATTTCCACAACGTGCAGTACGGTGAAAGTAGCATGGCACTGTCTTACCTCTTGAAGTTCCTCTGAAATTCTAGCAGCATATCAGAATTTCAACTTCGGTAAATCGAAAAACGACTCCTAGCATGTTTCTTACAATTCTTCAATTCAATACAGACCACATGTCAGCTCCGAGAAAGCTATGCTATCTTCTGTTTGTCCTTGTCGAGTATGGCCCTTCGTAAGTTGACTTCTGTATTCCATAGGTCCTCGTGAGTGGGTTCTGCAGTAGATATTGCTTTCGTTATCCGATGATACAAAAATCGTTCTCCTTCAGGACTGATATCTCATATCTCTAGTGCTCGACCGACGGAGGGACCCAGTTGATGAAGCTAGTCTAACATTACTAATTTCCTCATGAAATTGGTGGCTATTCCTTGAGACATCTCATCATCCTTGAAGATACAGTGAGCTAGTGCGTAGTCTATGTGGTGATTCAGAGTTGAATAATAAGCTTCCAGTAGGAATAGTTTTACTTTCAATCAGAGAAATACAACATGAATTAATATTCAGTATATAGAAACAATTACCATACGATAAGTCTCAATTTTCCTAAACAACACTATAGCAATTACAATATGTCTTATGAGTCATATGTCATTGATTATGTTCTATTTTATACAGAGCGTATATAACATATTTAACATACAGAGTGTATGATCAGAATTGCTTTATATCAACACTTCCCTTCAATTCTATAATATTTGAATACAAAAATTACCAACATTCAACTACATTCAATTTGTCTCTGAAATATTTAAATTCAACATGAGGTGAACCCTTAGTAAATATATCGGCTACATGTTCTGATGTTGGTATATAAACTAATTCAATTTCACCTCTACATACACAATCCTTAATAAAATGATGCCTTACATCTATATGTTTGGTACGTTTGGTTTCTAGTGTACTAGCCATTTTCATGCAAGATTGATTATCTTCGAATATAACAATAGGATGAATGTCAGTTTTCAAAATCTCGTCAAGTAATTGAACTACAAATATACATTCAGTTACACAAGCAGACAGAGCTACATATTCAGCTTCTGCACTTGATAGTGAAACAGTTATTTGTTTCTCAGTTTTCCAAAATATTACATGGTCAAATATCTTCAAGTTGAATCCAGTTATACTTCAACGATCATTTTTGTTATTTGCAAAATCTGCATCAACAAAAGCAGAAAGTATATTACTATTAATATGGTTATTATGTTTAACAAATTTCAATCCATAATTCTCAGTGCATTTTAAATATCTCAACACAGTTTTTAAATACATCCAGTGTTCTGTACTGTTACAATCCTGAAATTGACTGAAATATGAAATTGCAGAGCTCAAATCTGGCCTTGTACCAAGCATCAAATACATTAGATATCCTATGAGCTCTCTATATGGCAAATTTACATTATTTTCACTCTTATTTTCTATCAAATTCAATTTTGGTTGAATGGGAATATTGATAGGTTTACATTCAATCATATTAAAAATATTTAGAATTTTACATATCAAATCCTTCTGATTTATCACTAGACCCTCATTCGTTCTCATAATATTCAATCCCAAAAATATCATTTTAGAATCACTTGTCAAATCAGTCATTTCAAAATGTTTCATAAGTCCTTCCTTTACATGATTTATATTGAGAAAACATTTGGAGACGATCATTAAATCATCAACATGAATGATTAGATAAGTGCTCCCATTTAGGTACAAACAAGGATCTGCTTGTGACCTG